CAGTGGCACATTTGTGAAAGCTCAAACAACACAACGTTGGTACATCTCTTTTACTAAAGTCCAGATCTTCTGTGGACTTAACCAGCTTTTCCATCAACGCTTGCTCTGATCCAGGAACCAAGCCAGGGAACCACACTGCATCCACCTGGCACGTTTCCCAGTGTCCTCTGGGCTATGACTGTTTCTGTCTTTCCATGCTTTTAATTTTTTTTGAAGATTTATTTATTTGGGGGGGGTGGGCAGAGGGAGAGGAAGAGCATCTCGAGCAGACTTCACATTGAGTGCAGAGCCTGACGCAGGGCTCGATCTCATGACCCTGAGATCATGACCTGAGCCGAAATCAAGAGTCGAATGCTTAACCAACTGAGCCAGCCAAGCGTCCCTCCATGCTTTTTAGAACCTTTCTGTTTTGAGGACTCCCAGTCAAGTGTTTTGTAAAACGTCCTTCAGTTGGTGTTCATCTGAGGGGTTCTCCGGGGTCATGGGCTTGGGGGAAGAAAATCACATATATTGGGAGTGCACAATATCCACTCCGCTCACTCCTGGTGATATTAACCTTGAGCACTTGGTCAAGGTAGTGTCAGCCAGAATTCTCCACCGCAAGGTTACTGTTTTCCCACTTCCTGCTCTATTGTTTAGAAGCAAGTCAGAAGTCTAGTTCGAGGTCAAGGGAAGGGGAGGGGATAATGAAGCTCCATCTCCTGGAAGGGAGAATCTACAAAGATTATTTGGAATTCTTCGGTGAAGAAGATTTATTTCTTCTTTCCTGGTTAGCTATTTATGCAATAATTTATTTCTACCAGTGTGGACTCATGGATATATATTTTATACTTTGGGTTATAATCTAATACTCTGTTCTTTCCTTTTTTTTTTTTTTAAGATTTTATTTATTTATTTGACAGAGAGAGAGAGAGAGAGAGAGAGAGCCGCAGCAGAGGGAGAGGGAGAAGCAGGCTTCCCACGGAGCAGGGAGCCCGATGCGGGGCTCGATCCCAGGACCCTGGGATCATGACCTGAGCCGAAGGCAGATGGCCAAAAGACTGAGCCACCCAGGCGTCCCAAATACTCCGTTATTTCTTTTATTGCTCTAATTGTTGCCGCTTGGCCACTGGAGTGATTTAGCTCCTGGGTCCTTTTGACACACCCATCCTTTTGTGTTTTGAGCGCTTTCCAACTCCAGTGCCACCAGATGCTCTGGGCTCACCTTTTCCTTGCCCCAGCGGTACAGTCAGCCATTACTCCAAGGAAATAATATATTTTTAAAACCAATCCTCCAATTACTATCCTGTCAGTAGTCCACTGCATTTGAATACATGATGAAAAAAGTTATTTTGTTCAATTACTGTTTAAAACCTACCTCAATTTTTTTGTAGCTCTACCGTGATATCTTTTTAAAAGATACTAGGAGATGGGGTGTTTGGCTGGCTCAGTCAGAGGAGCATTTGAGTCTTGATCCTGGGGTTGTGAGTTCAAGCCCCATGTAGAGATTACTTAAATTTAAAAAAATTTTTTTAAATAACTTAAAATATATATACTAGGAACATCAAAACATGGGAGGGACCTGATCTTTTCTCGACATCTAGAAGTCCTTGATGAATTTAACCTCGGTGGCCACTCTGCTAAGGCTTGGGGGCAGCTTGCCCACCCTTCCTACAGAGGTGACCTAGCTTCTGTGTCCTCCCCAGTCTGAGTGGCCCAGTGGAGCCATCAAAGGCTAAGGTAATTCCCAGAACCTTTCTCGCTCCAGGTCCCCCATCCCCCGCCAAGGGGGTGACCAGTCCTGGACCTCTGCAGACCTCTGCAGACCTCACAGGAGGTGCAGGCAGGTGGCAAGAAAGCAGGCAAGCTCCAGGAAGGAAGCTGGCAAGCCCAGCCTCCAAGACAGATAAGCATGGACTGGGCACCATTACACCCAGAGTGCTCCTGGGAATTAGGGCCAAGGTTTGCAAAATCCAGCTGTAAATGGAGCAGGGGTTCCCCGGAGCAGCTGTGGATTCTGCAGAAGAGTCAGCTTCTCAGGAAAGAGCCGCCTTCATGAGCCGGAAGAGTGTGAGACTTCAGCTCACTTGGGGAGGGGACAGAGCTGTGTGACTCATCACCTGGTCCTGCCGGCTACAACTGGGATAGCTCTGGACCTCCCAGAGGAGGTCCCAGGCAGGCGATCACAATCCAGCACGTAGGGACACAGGCCATGTGCCAAGGGAGCACTGGGGAGGAAGCAAAGTCGCATTTGAAGAGTCTGGGCGGGCCTCCCAGAGGAGGTGACATCATCAAAAAGATGAATGGAATTGGCCAGGCAGCAGTCCGAGGGAAGGAGGGGAGGGCACTCCCAGCCAAGGAATAAGCAGATGCAAAGCACTGGCCCGGTGCCGGCAGCCTAGTGAGCAGTCGTAAATGTGAGGCATTATCGCTGTGGTTGACTTATCATCATTACAATGATTAACCTGGGCTTCTTTCTTCATATTTTTCCTATCTTAAAGGTAGTTCCTGGGGCGCCTGGGTGGCTCAGTCGTTAAGCATCTGCCTTCGGCTCAGGTCATGATCCCAGGGTCCTGGGATTGAGCCCCGCATCGGGCTCCCTGCTCAGAGGGGAGCCTGCTTCTCCCTCTCCCACTCCCCCTGCTTGTGTTCCCTCTCTCGCTGTATCTCTCTCTGTCAAATAAATAAATTCTTTTTTTTTTTTTTAAAGGTAGTTCCTACAATGAATATGAAGAAATGCCTAATGTTGCTGAGCTTTTCCTCATTATAAAAGGGTTGTGCTGAAGACCAGGGGTACGGCATCCACAGAGCTCAGCCAGAGTAGCTAAGACTAGCCCTGGGCCCCCCATGGACAGGGGCCTTGTTCTCCCTCTCTTCTTGGCCTGCCCCTGGGGTTGCTATGCCTGAGGGACATATGAGGGAACACTTTGGGGTCTTTAAGGTTGAGAGGCAACAAAGCAGGGACTTGGGTAGACAGGGTCAGGCAAGTCCAGAAGAACAGCTTCAAGGCCTGGCTAGAAATGCATGCTCCCTCCTCCCTGGGTCTTCTGTGGCCTCTCAAAACAGGCAGGTACTAGAGGTGGATACCTCAGAGAGAGCTCTGTGAATCCCAGCTCCACTAGCTCTGGGCCCCTGGGCAACTGACTTCACCTTTCTGAAGTTTTTGTTGCTTCAACTTTACAAGCACATTAAGATATGTACGAGAATTTCCAAAGCGTGCTCCTGGTTATAGCTACGTAAGTAAATAAATAGCAAATCCCAGCAATAACACCCAATAACAGAATGTATAAATAACTAGCGGTATGTTCCTAAAATGGAATATTATTCAATTGTAAAATAAGTTATAGGTACACCGGCAATAGAAATGCATTTTAAAAAACAATGCTGTGTTGGGGGCGCCTGGCTGTCGCAGTCGGTGGAATGTGAGACTCTTGATCTCGGGGTGGTGGGTTTGAGCCCCACGTTGGGTGTAGAAATTATTTAAAAATAAAATCTTAAAAAAAAAACAATGCTATGTGAAAAAAGGGAGTCATATAATTATAGAATGATTCCATTTGCACACAAAAAAAGCAAAACTAAAGTAAACAATATATTATTTAGGGATGTATACCAAGGCGGTAAAACTAAGAGAAAATCAAGGAAATGATTAGCACAATTAAAACAAAATTCGGGCAAGTGGTCTTTCGGGATGGGGAGGAGGCTGCAGGGAAGGCATGTGGAGGGTCTCAAAGGTACTAGTATGGGTCTAGTTTTTAAATTAGCTAGTGGACACACGGATATTTTATTGTTATTACTATTATCCATGAAGCTGTACCTGTATAGCTATGAGACTTTTTGGCTATTACACTAAGACCTACCTTATAGGATGCATGCCTATGATAAGGCAGAGAAAATGTAAGTGAAGTATTGGTACACAGTCAGCTCTCAGTTTTGAGGGCTTTGGGTCCCTGAGCCTCAGTTTCCCCATCTTCAAAGTGAGCTGGTGACACTGCTGAGGCTTTGTCCTCTAGCTTGTGGGTTTTGTGTTCCCCTTTTAAACACACACACACACACACACTTGAGGGCAGGTGTCAGGCCCCATCCTCTCACCAAAAAGTCTCCCCTCTGCCCTAGGTCACTGGTGGTTTCAAAAGTGGCAAAGGTGGCTTCTGGTGCCCTGGAATGGAAGCTCCTGGTCCCCGTTCCAGTCCTTTCCGGATGGGGCAATTAAACCTTTTCTGAGTTTCTCCAGGTTAAAATGGGCCTAGCAATCTGCCTTCCTCACCTAAACCCACGGGTAAATAATGCAAAGTGCTGTGCTCTAGTGAGAGCCCATGACTGACCCGGGACCTAAAAGCATCCTCACGGCGGGGGTGGGTGCATCCGTGAGCTGTGCAAGAGAATGCTGTGTGAACACTCACGGTGATTGGTGTAAACGTGCCTCTTTGCCTGGTTTTTCGCCTCGGTCACTGTGTACTTCCTGACTGTACTTTTCTATCCTGGTGAGTGTCCTCACCACGGCCCCACCTCCGTGTACCTGTTCCAGTCACGGTGTACCTGTTGAGTGTTTCTGGCTCAATCTGAAAGGTGCCTGTCTCTGCAACTAAGGACCTACCTCCAAAGGTGCGTGGACCGACCTCTGTGTGCCTGATTCACTCAGCGCGACCGTGACTGTACGGGGGTCAGTCGGGGCGTACTTGGCAGGCGCTCCTAGGTCTGAACGTGCGTGGCTGTACGGGTCCTCGCATCGCCGTGCGCACCCCGGTGAGTCCGCGCGCACCTGGCTCGGCCCGCGCCTCCCTGACGCCTGCCAGGAGGTGCGCTCCGGTCCCGGAGACGTCGGCGCCGCCGCGGCCGCGGCCCCGCACGTCCCTGCCCCCTTTCGGGCCCGGCGCGTCCGAGCTGCGGGGGCGGGGGCGGGGGCGGGGGCGGGGGCGGGGCCGGAGGCCGGGGCGGGGCGGGGCGGGGGCGGAGCAGGAAGGGGCGGTGGCTGCTCCGCCCCCTACCGCCTGGGTCGGCTGCCGCCTCCCCTGCCCGGCTTCCGCGTCACTGTGCCGAACGCCACCTGCCCGCTCCGTATAAAGGCGCCGCCGGCCTCGCCCCCAGGACTCGGCCCCATGGAGACGCCGCGGGCCGCGGCTGGCGCTCGGCGGGGTGAGGCGCGCGGCGGGGCGGGGGCGCGGGCCCCGGGGAAGGGCGGGCGGCGCGGGGAGGGCTCCGGCTGAGACTGGCCGGAGGGGAGGGACGTGGGGCGGGTCCCCTCCGATCTCGCCGGTCCTCGGGAACCCCTCCAACTTAGTCCAAGTTGGGGGAGCCTGGAAGGGGGGGCCAAGGTCCAGAGGGGAGCCGAGAGAGCGCGGGGCTCGGGGCCGCGACAGCCTCCGCGTCACCCGCGCCCGGCGGCCAACCAGAGTTTCCCAGCAACTTTTCTCGCCGGTGGGTCACCCCGGAAACTTCCCCCTTCCCGGCCCGGGAGCCCGGCCGTGGGCCCTGCGCCTCCTGGGCCTGCGCTCGGAGCCCGGGGCGAGCGGAGGCGATGGCCTCAGCGGGGAAGCCCCCGGCACCCCCTCCCCCCCACCCCAGCGCACTTCCAACCTCGGGTTTCCATCTGAGAGCCCCGCCCCGCAGCTGTGGGGGCGCGGCGACGTCCTGCGAGGCCTCCCAGGAGTTCTGGGTCCCCTGGGTTGCCGCGGGGCTGGGGGCGGGGTAGGAGGTGGAGCCAGACTGCCTAAGTTCAAGTCTTTGCGCCACCAGCTAACAGCTGGATGACCTTAAGTTCTTGAAGTCTGTGGCTCAGTTTCATCCTTTATAAAGTGGGAATAATGACTCCTAGCTGGGACAGCTTTTGAGAGGGTAGGAGAGGTGACACATGCAGATGGCTTTGCCTGGTGCCACCAGTCAGTGTGGCCTCAACCTGTTGGGTGGGGTAGGGGCTGGAGAGGGGTGGGAGAGAGAGCCACTCCCATCTCTGATTCTTACGGTTGTCCTACAGGAGCTGTGACAGGTGCCTTCCATCAGTCTGAGCTGTGAGTGGCAGGTGGAGAGAGGTCCACTCAGAAAGTCAGCCCCACCATGAGTCTGTGGGAACTTGACAGCCACAGCTGCCAGGGTACCCCGAGGCCAGCTCAGGAGCCCAGCACTGAGGAGACATTGGCTGTGGAGCTGCAGATGAAGGTTGATTTCTTCCGGAAGCTAGGCTACTCATCCGCTGAAATCCACAGTGTCCTGCAGAAACTGGGGGTGCAGGCTGACACCAACACAGTGCTGGGCGAGCTGGTCAAACATGGGTCAGCAGCCGAGCGGGAGCGCCAGGCCTCCCCGGACCCCTGCACTCAGCCCCCCCTGGTCCCCCGGGGTGGGGGCACCCCCAAGGCACCCACCCTGGAGCCCTCACCCCCAGAGGAGAACAAGGAAGGCAGTGACCTGAGACCTGTGGTCATCGACGGGAGCAACGTGGCCATGAGGTACGTGTCACTTCCAGGGCCAAGGCCAGGGCCTGTGGTGGAGAATGGTGGCCTTGTGTCTGTGCATCTCTGGTAGAGGGGCCTTCAGGAAAGAGTTTGAACTGTTCTCCCAGACTGATCAAGAGGAAGGGAAAGCTCTTTATTGAGGCTCTCCTTTAATCCTTATGGCTTCTTGGAAGTGGGTTTGTTAGGAATGTTTTAGGGATGAGGACAGGGGCTCAAAGATGTGCCCATGGGCACACACCACTGGTAAGTGTTAGAGCAGGGATGCGAACTTGGGTCCTTCTGTCTCTGGTGTTCACCTTGGGCTCTTCCTCTCTCCCTGAAGACCATCACTCAGTCTCAGTTCCTCTCCTGCGACATGAGGCAGTATGGTGTAAGGGATTAGACTGTGGGGTCAGCTCGTCCATGTCGGAGCCAGTCACTTAATGTCTTGGAGCTTTCTGTCCTCATCAGTAAGACCCAGCTAACCCCTGCTCAGATGACATTGTGAGGAGTGGAGGCACAGAGCCTGGACAGAAGCACAAACTCAGTAAGCAGTAGTTGTTACTACTGTTACTTAGGGGTCTGGGGCCCCTGAGGCCTTGTTTTGCCAGACCTGGACTCCTGAGGAAGCAGGCCCGGGTACTGGGACCTTTGTCGCTGTGACTAAGAGTGAGCTCCGGGATCTGGCTTACATGGGGCGTGGGGGCGGGGGTTGAGCGTGGGCAGGTCTGCTGTGACTTGAGTCACCTCTGCTTCAGCCAAGCCACCTTGACTAGACTGGGCCTAGGGGCCCCCCAGGGTCTCCCAGGTGGGCTGCCTGAGGCTTCAATGCCCTTGGCCCTTCCCACTCCCAACCCAGCTGGGCCAAGTCAGCTGTCAGACTGATCCTGGCCCAGCTCAGTATTCCTGTCTCTGAAATGGGTTGAGCCTCGGTGGGTGGTTGGGTAAAGCTGGCTCCCGCATGCTGTCGGCAGCTGGTGACAACCTTTTCTTTGAGAGGGGGGTCCCCTCTCTGGCTCCAGCAGCTTGTGGCTGGCCCAGGAGCCGTGCAGGTCTGTGACTTCTTCCCCTGGAGGCTTGGGCAGGCTGTGCTGGCCTGGGGCAGCCTGCGCTGACCATCTCCCACGCGCCCCCCCCTCCCCGGGGACAGCCATGTGCTCTGTGTGTTTGTATCCTGGCAGGAGGAGGAGGGGCCTGGGCGGGAGGGGGGGTGGCCTGAGGAGCCGGCCTGGAGAGGCATAGCCGCGGGGGGTTTCTGAGCTGGGGCAGTAGCAGGAGGGGAATTCCAGCCTCAAACTTCCTGTCTCAGCTGCTGCTGGGTTCCTGCCCTGCTGCCCCCTCCCCCCCAAGGGCAGACAGGCCAGCCCCCACCGTATGCAAATCGTGGGGAAATTCACCTCTGTTTCCTTCTAAGGGAATTTTTCTCCTCTAGCTGGGCCCAGCCCAGGCAGATCTCCACCTGGCTAGCCTGGCCTGGCCCTGCCCTCTCTCCTTGGGTGGGAGCCGCCGAGCTGGAGTCCCCTACATCCTCACACAACTTAGCCAGTGTCTAAGTTAGCCAGGCTGGGGCGGGGGGGGGCGGGGAAGAGGCGACCTTCTGGGCAAACAGGCCTGCGGTGGGGGAGGGAGGATGTCTGGTTTTCCTGTGCCAGCAGAGCTTCCTCCATTGCAGCAAGAGGGACTAAAGTTAGCTCTAAATAGAGGCACTCCTGGCCTGGCTCGACTTGCGGCACTACCTCGTGGGTTCAACTCCTTCCAAGAGCAAGGCTCTCACTACCTGCCTACGGAGTATTTTAGGGGCTAGGACAGCTGTGAGCAGACTTGTTCCCAGCCCAGGTTTTTGATGCCCAGAGGCAGTACGCTAGCCTGGATTAAGTCCCCAGGCTTGCAGATGCTGGCCTAGGATGGGACATGTGCACGTACACACATGTGTACAGATGTGGGTCCGGTGGGTGCTTGTGCAGACTGCTTACCTGAGCCAGGGAGCCAAGCTGGGGATGATCACATTCCCCTGGTCGTGGGGAAGCAGCAGAGGCCCAGCGGGGGTGGCGGGAATGTGACAGGAGAAGCACTGGGCATTTGAAGAGAAACCAGGGATCTGAGCTATCCTGGAAGGTCTGTCCAGGAAGGCTTCTCAGAGGCAGTGCTGTTTCATGTGGGTGCTGGAGGAAGAGCCGGAGTTGGCCAGATGCATCCTTGTCTCCTGTTCCCAGCCTGCCCCCTACCTCTTAACACTTTGTTCAGACTCAGATTTGGGAGCTTTTCTTTCTGCTGTACAAACTTCAGGTCTTGCTATTAAGGACTAGGAAGGCAAGCCAGGGGCCCCAGATGTGGGTTCAAGTTCTGTCTCTTCCCACTAGCCCGGGAGCCGTAGATGAGTTGCGCATCCTTGGTTTCCTTCACTGTGGCCTCGTAAGGATGAAGAAAGCAGGTGTGGGACTCCTCTGGCCTCCAGTAGGAGCTTGGTGCCCACTCAGCCCCATCTGTCCCCACCGCCAGGCTTGGTACTTTGTACCTGTATGAGCATCAGCACCGGTGGTGGTTATGAGCAAAGGCTCTGGGCTGCGTCTGTCTTCCACCATCGCTGCAACTGGTTGTGCTCTGTGGGTCGGTTTTCTCACGGGAATGAAGGGGAAAGGGGCCTTTAATGATAGGACCCTCTTCAGAGGCTTGCTGATGATTCCGTACTAAGCACTTAGATCAGGGCCTGGCTCCTGGATCTCAGTAAATGTTAACTTTTATTATAAGCAGGCTGGTGGACGGTGGGGAGGCCCCACCACCTGGTGGGGATGAGCACTGCCTTCAGCTGGACTTTGCCTCCCCTACAATTTATGGAGACGTTCAGATTGGGAGCCCCAGGGCCTCACCCCCAGACAGCCTCCGTGCCCCCCAGCTGCCCCACCCCCATCTCTACCTTCTCCTGGGACTCCAGCTACCACCCCCACTCCAAAGCCACCCACAGGATGTGGTCGCCCATGGACTTGCCTCTTTTGTGTAACATTTATTTTGTTTTATTTGCCAAATGTAAGCGTCTGAGCTGCTCCTGGAGGGGTTAGTGAGGGGTAGGGGCTGTTGGGGAGGGAGCTGTAGCTGGTCTCGTCCAGTGCCCCCAGCCTGGGCTTGGAGGCCTTCTACAATACCCACTGCTTCTTGGGGGCCCCCGGCCCCCTCTTAACCCTCCCAGGAAGCCAGTTGGAACCTCCACTTTGCTGGACTGTCTCTGGCCTCAAGCAAACACAAAAGCGATGCCCCTGACATGGCCCTTCTTAAGGAGATTATAGACTGCCAGGCCCATTTGTCAGATAGGGAAACAGCCAGAGCAAGCCAGCAGCCCATCCGGGCTTGCTTCTGGATCCAGCCACCTTTGGAGGGGGTGACATCCAGCCGTCAGACCACAGCAGGGGGATGTCCCACCTCCCAGCTCTCCTGCTAACAGAGTCCCCCAGGTGGCTTCCAGATGGCCTTTCTTGCCTCAGCTCCTGCTCTCCTGAGCTGGGTGAGGAGAGGACAGGGCAGTCCAGGCATTTGGGGGAATTGGCAGTCTTGGGAGGAAAAGCTCTTTCACTTTCAGACTGAAAGGCTCTTGAGTGCCTCTCCCACTCTGTCACTGCCCGCCCCATGTGGGACAATGGATTGTGCCTCCTTCCCCTTCGCCCTCCTCAGTCCCAGCCCCTGGGGCCTGTGTAGGACTGAACTTTAATCCATGTTTAATCCAGAGCAATCTGGTTTCTCTTCTGTTAGCCGGGGCTTGTCCCTTCCCACCCCCACCCACAGCACCGCCCAGCGGACAAGGGAAGACTGGTGACTCAGTGTGCCTGTGTGCGTCTGTGTCCCTGTGGTCCCAGCACCCCCGGGTGGGGCAGGAACCAGAAGGCTCCTGGAGCCTTTCCCCCACCCCCAGGTGTGTTGCAAGCAGCCTGACCCTCCCCCACATGGGGAGCGGGTGCCGCCAGATTCCTGGGCGGCTCCTCACTGTCGGGAGATGGAACCTCAGGGAAAGTCCCTGGTCAGGCCATCCCGGACGCTGTGGGAACCAGCAGGGAATGCAGGCCTTGGGCCAGAGGGCAGTGGGCTAAGCCCAGCCACTCCACCACCCAGGCCAGGCCAGGGGCTAGAGAGCAAGTCCCTTGTGCTCGGGGCTAGGGGAGAGTGGGCCAGCCACCCTCGCAGGCTGACCCTGTCCCTCCTCTCCTTCCCAGCCACGGGAATAAGGAGGTGTTCTCTTGCCGGGGCATCCTCCTGGCAGTGAACTGGTTTCTGGAGCGGGGCCACACAGACATCACGGTATTTGTGCCATCCTGGAGGAAGGAGCAGCCTCGGCCCGATGTGCCCATCACAGGTGGGTGGCACCTCTGGAGGGGGTGGTCTCCCTGCCCCAGCAGGGCTCCTCCCCAAGAGAGACCCTTTGGGTGTGACCAGCAACTTCTAGGCCTCAAGCAGGGACCAGCATTTCTTTTCCCAGCTTCCTCTGCGCTCAGCGCCTTCCTGCCTCAGGGTGCCTGGGGTTCCGAGCCCCTGTGCCTGGCCAGCAGGAGGCTCTGGGGCCAGGGCAGGCTCTGACCTGTCCTGCTGCTGTCCTGCAGACCAGCACATTCTGCGGGAGCTGGAGAAGAAGAAGATCCTGGTGTTTACCCCGTCCCGGCGCGTGGGTGGCAAGCGTGTGGTGTGCTATGATGACCGCTTCATCGTGAAGCTGGCTTTCGAGTCTGACGGAGTCGTGGTCTCCAATGACACGTACCGGGACCTGCAGAGCGAGCGGCAGGAGTGGAAGCGCTTCATTGAGGAGCGGCTGCTCATGTATTCCTTCGTCAATGACAAGTACGGTCCTGGCCCTCGGGTCTGGAGTCCCTGGGGGCGGCCGGGTGGGGGGGACAGGTGTGTCCTCAGGTGTGGGGGGTGGCTAGGGGGAGCTCTGCTGGGGCCACAGCCTTGCCTCCAGGCAGCTTTGGGAGCGAGAGGGACCTGGCACCAGGGAGAAGGGGTCAGGCTGAGGACGGGCCAGGGTGGGGGGTGGGGCAGAAGCATCTGTGATAGGATATGGTCAGTGGTTCCCAGCACTCAGTCCCTGATCAGCAGCCCGTGGATGGGTGCAGCCTTAGATTCAGATTTCCAGGTTGCGGGCCTCCCGCTGCCTCCGGAGCTCCCAGCCTGAAAGCTGCTCCGATGGCCCCTCCGGCTGGGGCCTCCTCCCCTCCCTTGGGGCATTCCCACCCGGAGGGCCCAGGGATGTCCTGCAGGATGATCACCAGTTTTAGGAGCTGCTCTCCCTCCCCGTTCTTCCTGGTGAGGCTCGCTGTTCAGCCCCCCTGCCCGCTCAGCACTGGGAAGCTCCCTTCACGCCTCCCACCTCCTCTGCAGGTTCATGCCCCCCGATGACCCTCTGGGCCGTCATGGGCCAAGCCTGGACAACTTCCTGCGTAAGAAGCCACTCACAGCAGAGCACAGGAAGCAGCCATGTCCCTACGGTAAGACACCTGGGCCCTGATTCTTCCTCACGGAGACCACCCAACCCTGAGTTTCCTGTGCCACCCCCTTCCCTCTCCCAGCCCTGGTTCTGCAGCCCCCCGCCCAGAGACCCCCCTTACTGTCTTGCAGGGAGGAAATGCACCTACGGGATCAAGTGCCGATTCTTCCACCCGGAGCGGCCGAGCCGCCCGCAGCGCTCTGTGGCTGACGAGCTTCGCGCCAATGCCCTCCTCCCCGCCTCCAGGGCCCCCGGCAAAGACAGAAGTGGCCAGAGGCCCTCACCCTCGTCCCAGCCCGGCCCTGGGCCCACAGAGCATGAGCAGTGCAGCCTGGACGGGAAGAAGCTGGGAGCCCAGGCATCCCCGGGGCCGCACCGAGAGGCTCTGACACAGCCCTTCGCCCCTGCCGGCAGGAGCCTCCCGCCTAGTGGGGGCAGCGGCAGCAGCTTTGGGCCCACAGACTGGTTCCCACAGACGCCAGAGTCTCTCCCATACACGTCCCAAGAGTGTCTGGACTCGGGCATCGGCTCCCTGGAGAGCCAGATGTCCGAACTCTGGGGAGTTCGCGGAGGGGGCCCTGGTGAGCCCGGCCCGCCTCGGGGCCCTTATACCGGCTACAGCCCCTATGGGGCTGAGCTCCCAGCCGCTCGGGCCTTCTCTGCCTTTGGAGGGGCCGTGGGTGCCGGCCACTTCAGTGTCCCTGCTGACTATGCCCCCCCGCCGGCTGCCTTTCCACCTCGAGAGTACTGGTCTGAGCCGTACCAGCTGCCCCCGCCCACCCCAGTCCTGCAGGACCGGCAGGTGCCAGGCCCGGGGGCTGACAGGGGCCTATGGGGCGGGGCTGGCAGCCTAGCCAAGGAGCGAGCCAGCGTGTTCACCAAGCTGTGTGGGGTCTTCCCCCCGCACCTGGTAGAGGCTGTGATGGGGCGCTTCCCGCAGCTCCTGGACCCCCAGCGGCTAGCCGCGGAGATTCTTTCTTACCAGCCCCGGCACCCCAGTGAGTGAGCCGGCTGCGCTGCGGCAGCCGCCCGCAAGGCTGGACTGAGGGAGGACTGAAGTAGGGAAGGGAACCCGCAAACCAAAGAGAACTGTAGGATTGGTTCTGGCCCCCCGGCGCCTGGAGCCGGCTGCTGAGTGGGGCAGGAGCGATCGCCCTGTTGATGCACATTGTATCTGTAGTTTAAGGAGACGCTGCCGTAAAGGCATCAGTCCGTGGCTGAAGCCCAAACCCCTCTTTCTCTCAGAGGGCGGGGAGGGAGGCGGTGGGGAGCAGAGGCCTGGGCTGGGGGCCCTGTGCACGGCCCCCCACCTCCGCCCCGTCCCTGGGATGCCGGCCTCAGCTGGCTAGTTAGGCACCGTGTGCCTGCCCTCCAAGGGCCCCTCCTGTACGCCAATGAGGCCTCATCGGTGCTCTTGCAGGGCACCAGGCTTCATGTTAGTAAGCAAGATGCTTCTTAATAACCCACCTTCTGTCCCACTCTGTTCGCCTGTCTGCTTGCCCCCACCAGGGGTCAAGGGTCCTCTGTCCCCACCCTCTCTTCCCTTTTCCTCTATGCTCCGAGTCACCTCTCCCTTCCGCAGGAGTGGGGACGCGTGTATGTATGTGTACAGGTAGAATATTAAGTACTTTAAGTGTAAGTCCTTGCCTCCTTTAACACGTCAGTAAAGTACAGTGTGACCCCTTTAAGAGATGATGGTCTTGGTTGTACTTGGGGGTTGAGCGGGCCTTTGAGCAGTGGAAGGTCAGCAGGTGTGCACCTGACCCAAAGCGCTCAGTCCCTTGGGGGCAGGGCCTTCCTTACTGAGGCCGTGGGCCAGGACTTGAGAGGAGGTGGGGGAAAGTTGGGGAGTTGAAGTCCTGCGGCTGTGGGGTGGCAAGGGGTGGCAAGGTTTGGGGGCAGGGGCGGCATTGGGCTGTTCCCCTTTTCTGTCCTGTGACCACAGCTGAGGACAGAAAACCATCTGGCTGAGAAGAGGGCTTCCAGGATAGTTGAGAGAAAGTGGTGCGGGAGCCCTTGGGTGCTCAGCTCTGGCCCCACCTTCCCAGGCACTGCCGTGTTCTAGACGTGGAGCTCCACCAGAGTGGTGCAGGGGGTGCAGAACAGCCTGGAAAAGTGACGCCGGGGTAGCCTCCACACAGGAGGCTAGGGGTCCTGGACCCAAACTCAGGAACCAGGTCTGCCACTGGATTCACTTGGGGCAAGTGACTCCCCCTCTCTGGGCCTCAGTTTCCTCATCTGTGAAGTGGGGATAATAACGGTACCTACCTTACAGGATTGTAGGGAGGACGTGAGAGTATGCATGTTGACCACATGACCCAATGCCTGGCACATAGTAAGTGCTCATCAAAGGGCCTCTGGTGTCGCTCTCTGTGGGCTGTGTTCACCTCACCATCTCTACCTTCTCAGCGGCCCCTAGAAGGAAGGAAGCCAGGCAGGAATATACAGTTTTCTCAGATGAAAAAATGAGATATAAATGCTACAGATTTTAAGTGAAAAGCTGGGCTGTCGTATGATCCCTGAACACCATCAGCAAGAGAAAATGGAAAAAATACAGTTTTAATAATAATTCTATATCTGAACATCTCACCTAATCTGTACTTATTGTGAAGCTTTTATAGTATCTGTATTTTTTTTTTTTTTTTTAGAAACTGCTTTACCACAGAACACCTGCACAGCATGTTGAGGAAAATGCCACATTGGCCCTCTCCCTGCATGCTGGGCCCCCACTCTGTTCTTCACCCTGAACTTTTTTTTTTTAAGATTTTTTATTTATTTATTTGAGAGAGAGATAGAGAAACAGCATGAGAGGGGAAAGGGTCAGAGGGAGAAGCAGGCTCCCCGCTGAGCCGGGAGCCCGATGTGGGACTCGATCCCAGGACTCCGGAATCATGACCTGAGCTGAAGGCAGTCGCTTAACCAACTCAGCCACCCAGGCGCCCCTCCCTGAACTTTTTTTTTTAAAAGATTTATTTTGAGAGAGCGAGAAGGAAAGATAAGAGCGAGTTGGGAGAGGGAGAGGGAGAAAGAGAATGTCCGAGACTCCCTGCTGAGCGAGGAGTCCAACACGGGGCTCGAGCTCACAGCCCTGAGATCACGGCCTGAGCTGAAATCCAAAGTCGGACACAACCGACTGCGCCACCCAGGCGCCCCACCCTGAACATTCTTTAGAACCTGGCATTTAAAGCAGGGACCCAGGCGCAAAGTGGGAACGATCTCCGCAAATGTTATCTTGAAGCCCCCACACATGCTCTTCAAGGTACCCCATGCCCGTTGGCTTCCAGCCTCCTTGGAAGGTTTTATCTGCACAAGGAAATGTCATTGCCTTCCTTATAAAATATTTTCTCCAATAGAATACTGTATTCCAGATTTAAAAGGCTATTTACGGGTCTTCGTTTGTTTCTATGGGACAGGAAGCTAAAAGACCAGACTGTGCAGCCAGGCTGAGTGGTTTGCCTGAGGGCAGGCTGGTGTAGGCCCTTGAGTTTGGGGCCCTGGCTCTACACGCACCGGAAGAGGGAAGGACCCCCGATACTGGTTTGCAACAACTCTCAGGCCCGGGAGGGAAGGAGGCAGGGGGCACCCTTGGCCCTGCACCCACCAAGCCCCCTCCGTCTGTACCCCACGTGGGACGGAAAGGCCCGGAGGCCTCGGGAGTGGCCTGGAAGAAGTAGGGTGCCTGCGCCCCTCTTCCCATCCCACCAGCCAGCTGTCCATAGATTCGGCCCCTGACCAGAGCGGAGTTTTTGGGGTGTGGGGGGAGGGTCCCCCAGGCAGGTGGGCGGTGGGGGGCAGGTCCGGGCCTGGAGGGGCTCGTGTCTGTCCCCGGCTGGCTCACTGACAGGCGCCCGCTGAGGCTCGAGTCGGCCCGGGGCCCCGTGGGCCTGCGCCCACATGCTGTGCTTCCCCACCGGCCCTCCAGGACCCGGAGCCGCTCCTCCGGGGCTTGCTCTCAAGCTGGCTGCCAGGCGCAATGCCCAGGACTTGGGTTTTAACTAGAAGTTCTCCCAACCACCTCCTGCCCGGCCCGCCGAAGCACCTGCCCTCACAGGGCCTCGCTCTTCCCGCCTGTCCAAGGGACGATCCCTGCATATGGCTCTAGACTGACTAGAAGATACCTCAGTTCGAGGGGTGCCAGCCTGAGAGGGAAGTCCTGGCTGTGGGGCCCTGCACAACTCCCCCTCCTAGAGCCTCAGCTTCCTGGCCTGCCTCACAAAAGAGGTGTGAGGTTCACACGGGCTCGAGGGAAGGTCAGGGCAGCAGGGCTGGAACAGAGCCTGAGAGCCAACTTCAAGGCACCGCAGCGCTGAGGGGATGACTCCGATGGCTGTTGCCCTTTCCTCCTCTGCCTTCCTGGTTCCAGGAGCCGAGAAGCTGATGGGGAAACCTGTGAGTATGCAAATCCCTGCACTGTTGGGAAATGATCCTGGGGAGCTCCCAGAAGATGGCCTCCTGCCAGCCCCTCCCCAAACCCCGCAGGGCCCCCACCTCACCCTGGGGCCCTCACCAGCAGGGGCCTGACCCCGAGTCTTCTTGCAAGGTTAACCCCTGTGCTGGGGGTACAGGGGGACTACAGAAACCTTGGCCTCCCTGGCAGAGAACGAACTGGCCCCACATGGATGAAACTGCCTTCCGTGGGTGTCCCCACCCACTCTGTCCCCATCCCACTTCACTCGCCGGAGGAAAACCCAGCGGTCCCTAAAGGTCTGGGGAATTTCAATGAGGAGCCAGAGAGCTCCGAGGCTCCAGGGGAGTGGCTCTCCCAGGCCCCACGTCCCCAGTGCTGCTAGCCCCTCAAACATTGCTGGTCCCCTGCAGGGCGGTCGGTGTGGGGCAGTGACTGCGAAGAGGCCACCGCTGACCACCACTGCTGCCACTTCCTGCCCTACACAGAAGGCCAGGACCCCTGTGCTGAAGGCGGGGCTGGGCAGGTCTCCGCCAGAGAAACTGGGGTTCAGTGGGACACAGAGCTCAGAGTTGGGGGGGTGGAGCCGGCACCTCACGCCCTAGGCCTTGCTGGTCCCCAAAGGCTCCTGCTGCCCAAATAAGGCAGTCCTGGGACCCTAGCACTTCTGCTCCAGGACTTCTCAAATCTCTGGCTCATTTCCCCCCCACCCGGACCATAGCAGAATGGGTGGAGTAGAGGGTGGTGAGTAAGAGCCTGTTCTGGGGACCTCCTTGTTCATGGGAAGGGTGTGGGAGATTTGGCTGAAGAGACAGGAAGTAGAGCTCTACCATTAAGGAAACTCAGGCCATCCCAGGCCATGGTATGTAAATCCTTCCAGCTAGTTCCTGGATGGGGAGGAGGCCCCAGGCTGTCATCCTGGGATGTGGCCTTTTGAAGGCCATCTCAAGGCAGGTACTGGCCACATTAAATTGCTCACCCATCTAAGAAACAGCTGCAAAACTAGGTAGAAGAAAAAGATCAGGCAACCCACCCCACCCCACACCGGGTTGGGCACATTGCTGGGTCTGGGAAGGGTCCAAGGGCTCTGATTCCTGTGGATCTCCAGATTAGAGCCCCACTAAAGGCCAGGGGTGCTTGTGGGGCTCTGCCTGCCACCTGCTGGCCCCTCCCGGTACAACTGTCAGCACTGGCCTGAACGAAGTGCCTAGAGACAAGCATCTTCAATAGGATCTGAAAACAAGACTCTAAAGAGAGTAATATGTAAGTGTTAAGGCAAAAATGGGAATTCTTTTTTCTTTGCTGTTTTTGGGTTTTTTTTTTTTTAATGCAAGCTCTACGCCCAGTGTGGAGCTTGAACTCCTGACCCGGAGATCAAGAGTCACACATTCCATGGACTGAGCCAGCCAGGTGCCCCTAAAATGGGAATTCTTAATGGCATTTGCAGCTGCACCCCAGGAAGCAACATCAAAGGCATCAGTCCTGCCTTTTGCAAAGCTGAAAGCTCCAGAAAATTCCAACTGTTATGGGTAACAAATTACCCAAGAAAAGTCCTCAGGAACTGGAGAAATAAGAAGGAAGAGAAAGGGAGAAAAAACACAAGTATTCACATTTAAAAAATGATCTGGGCAATAAAGTCACAGTGAGATCCATGTTTTAACCCTCTGACACATCCCATATGGCTTGGCAGGCCCACCACTAAGAATCAGATCTGCAAAATGTAAGGCACTACAACACTGCCCAAAATGGCAAGAGAGGACAAAACAGCATCGGTGCCATTCAACCAGCAGAAGACTGGTTCAGTAAATCGTGGTGTGCGCACATAAAGGAATGTTAAGTAGCCAACAGAAGTGAGGTTTCTAAGCTGCGTTTATGGCACACTTTCTAAGCTATATTACAGGTGAAAGAAGTATGCTACCATTTTTGTAACAGGCACATGCCTGTGTGCATACTGCTCGTATGTGTTCAAAGCTCCTCTGGAAGGGCACGCAAGGAACTGCCTCTGGGAAGGACAACTGGGTCCTGAGGGACGGCTGGACTGACTTTTTTCATTGACCATACTCCCGTACTATTTGAATATATGCCATTTGCATGTATTATTTATTCAAATTGCATCTTTTAACGCCTCCTTAAGGAACAGAAATAAGTTATGGGGGTGGGGAATCTGAGGAGGGTTCTAGCAGTTAGGGCCTCCAAAGGCTATTCTTGTCCACGAACAGTAAACACTGAGAGCATACACACCCCCAACACATATATGTTGTTAAATCTGGATAAATGCCCGTTCTGAAGATCAAAATGGTTGAAGTGCAGCAACTGCTTGTGGTTCAACCTAACGTTTATTTATCAAGTATCTACATGTACTAAAATGAATATTTATGTATGTTATATAACACATTCAAAGTGACAACTAAAAAAGGCTAAGTCAGAAAATACATACAAATTGAAGGCCTGATATGTGCCCCCTCAACCCCCTCCCAAGCCATGGGCCATCCTCCATACCCTCCTCCTTGGGGACCACCGCCCTGCGCTGAAGCGGGGGTCGGAATCAACACCACAGCCCATCTTAGCAGTGAAAACTTTTACTCTACAGATGGAGTGTTCCAAAGTGAAAATTGTTTCCAATCCTGAACCCAATTCACTTAGAAAATTCAGACACGGTAACATTTACACGAACACAGGAATGAGAGTCCCAGTGCCTTCTCCTCAGGCACCTACCCAGGCCCCGAGCAGGGCAGCAGCCCGGGGAAGGACGTGCATACAAAGATGCACGCTCGCGCTCACGCTCCACTCGGCCCCCGTGCAGTGGCCCTGGCAGCGGGCTGCAGACGTGCATTTTTACACACAGTCACGCCTCAGTAGTTGGGAGTGAGGCCGAGGGGCAGAGAAGTCAGAATAGAAGCAAAAACTAAGTCGCAGTGTTTCAGAACAGCATATTTACTCCTTTCAAAGTTACGCCATTTAAATACTTGTTTCCATTCCCTTATTCATCACACAGGTCAAGGTATCGACAATCCTCCTTGTAGGATACTTACAGACTATTCTATAGCACCCCAAAGCTCCATTTCTCAAAGCACTCCGGAGGCCCCCAAGACATGGACAGCAGCTCTGAACGCCCGTGCTCTTGGCCCACACCGGCCCTTCCCTCTCAGGCCCTCCCGTTGGCCCCACAGTGCTGCTGGTCTTCTCCTTTGCGGGTTGTCCCTGCACTCCATCTTCCCTTGCAGGGTATGATGCTATTTAGAACATTTGGAGTTTCAACAAAATAAACGATTTCCTCAGCCCCTGGAAGAGCAAGCATACTTAAGACTCCCTCAGGAGCCATGTACAGTAACCATCGTCCCAGAAGAAGACATGAAATAGAACTACCAAGGGCCTGGATTTTTTTAAATGTCTTATAACCACCAACAGGAGCGAAGGACAACTTCTTCCCATTGTGGAGATGAGAAGGCTAAAGGCCTAAAGCAAAATACTATTCCCAACCCCAATAATCAGGTGAAGGCCTGCCTAGAAGAGGTCCTGGCAGCCATTCTGGCAGGGTCACTGGTCACGTGTAAGTTTGTCAGACAAACTTAGTTAACAACCAAAGTGACAAATATCACAAGCATGGTAGGCATCTCTTGGGGTTTCTGCCTAAACCTCCCCAATTTAGAGAACATAAGCAGTTTCTTGAGACTTAAATATCTTCAGTCTGTGGCCAGCTTACAGGAAAACTTTGGAGGTCCCTTAATCAATGACTGAAAACTTTACAGAGAAAATAAGTGTAAAGCAAGCAGCCTACCTCTAACCATGATCATAGACATACGTGTGTATTCATATACACAGGTATGTTTTTACATAATACAGCTTTTTAAGAGCAATCCCACCAGATCTCAAGCAAACGTCAAACTATGAGAGAAAATTCTAGGTTTGCTGTGTGCTCTCCTCCAGGCCACGGAGACCACAGGAAGCCCCACTTCTCTCTCCCAGGAAAGGAGAGAAACTGACAAAGGAGGGAAGAGATGTCTTCTGGTCCCCATGGTTTTTAGCTTTGTAATTGTTTTTCTCTTTTTTTAAGGAACAATCTAAATATAAGAAACTATTTTCTTAAAAACCCTGACATTAGAGTTCTGCTACCAAAGACATCTAATTAGCCACAGAGTCCAAAAAAAAAAAAAAAAAAAGTTTATTTGAGAACAAGGGTGAAAGCTTTTGCACATCTGACAAGGTAGACTCGTTTTGCTAACAGACGCCATCCGTATTCAGCTCTACCAATATTATCACAATGGAACATATTTGTTCTAACAAAGATATGGGCCTAAGTCAAGGACTATGACTAGACAGCATCAAAGGAAAGATGGGGCCCCAAATCTTAACCCCTAGACTGATTCGCAACATAGGATTTCAATCAAACACTCCTCATGCAGTGGTTCTCAACCTGGCTTCTTATCAGAATCCCAGGGACTCTTTGGACGGAAATCCCAGTCACTAGACTGTCCCCCAGCCGGAGTCTCTGGGGGTGGGACCCAGGTATCAGTAGGTCCTTAGGCTTCCTAGATGACTCCCATGAGCAGCCGAGGTCGAGCACCACTCTAGGGGCAGGTAACAGTTCAACAAATCGGCAAGTTCCCCAGCCGGCCCTGTGAGGAAGGGGGTCTGCCGGGCACCGCTAGCTCTCGCAGATCCTATCTCCCCCTCTGCTCCAGAACTCCGTAACGTTACCAGCTTTGGGTGCAATGTTGAGCCTTTCCATATGCCTTAATGATTTTCAGAGCAATGTTTAATCAGGCAGATACCAGCAAAGAAACAAAAATGGAAAAAGGAAAAAATTTCCATAAGGCATGATACTACGAATAAATAAAATAAGTGAAAAAACAATCTCAAGTTTAAAAGTAAAGCATGAGAAGTCAACACCTGCGAAATTTTATTTATATAAAAGAATAAAAATATCTATTTTAAAAGGATTGATTTAAACTTAGGTTTTTCAGCTTTTCCTGTTCCTTGAACATGAAACTGCCTCCAACGCAGAAAGATTTAAGATAGGTAATTATTAAATAAACCCTCTTTACCTTCCCCCTGCAAAAACACAGAGCCAAGTTCCCCATTTTCTTTATGGTAAACCAGATTATTTTCAGTGAAGAATACTGGCAACTGCATGAAGCAGATGATCAGATACGTCGGCAGGAAGGTATGAGCTGTACAACGGCATTACAAAAAGTCCCCAAAGAAAAGAAGATGGTAAAAACAATAGAAAAATAATAAAACACAAACAAAATAAGAAAATGCCCAATATTTACAGCCTCCCTTTGAAATGTGACCTATGTTCTACCTTCAGCATAAAACAAAACCAGAGAACATTTCTCAATGGGTATCACAGATGAAGCTGGTGCCAGCCAGTTTGGGGGGACACATTCATTCCAAGAAGGGAGAAATGCTTGCTGGAATTATAACCATGTCTTGGTCTTCTTGCAGTTCTGTTACTAAAAATGACACACAGTAAATGATCCAATGTGGTCTTACAGAAATGACTTGTCACCACGTTTCAGAAGAGACTATTCAGAGTCACAGGCACTGGGTCTGGGAAAGCAGAGGTGGATGGCCGCGCACTCAGGTGAGGGATATGTATCTTTGTGAGGTTGGAGGAGGGAAGCAGGGCTCTACAGCCTGGAAGCTTCTGCACTAATGAGTCTTCTAATAGTCCTAAAGAGAGAAAAACAGAGTCCCAACTTACTCTCAGAACATTAGTTGGAACTTAAGAAGAAATTCATTAACAACCCTGCTAGGGGACTGCTCTATAGCCAAAGATTCTACTTCAAATGCAACAGACAATACTTCACATCTGAAAATGTCCCATCTTCCAAGTCCACAGAGGGACCGAAACATCAGTTCTGCCCTTGTTAGGTCCCCTGAGCTCACCAATCAAAAACAAAACAAAAATAAAAACAACTAGTAGTAACAATTCATTCTTTAATCAAAGGGAATTTTTCTTCAGTAAAAATGTGTGACCCTTCTCTCTATCCAAAATATAAAAAAACCTAAATAACACCTAAAAGTGTATCCAAACGGATACCCCCCTCCCCAGCCTTTAAAATGAGAATTGTAACCTGAGATTAGGAACACTCAGCTCTGAAGACGAACACATTTTTCTAATCATCTACAAAATCACCAGCCTCTCTGAAATGGTCTGGCTGATACTTACAGCTCGTGGTTTTTTGTTTAACTTCAGATCAATCCTGCGATAGAAAAGATAAAACATATTTGCATTTTAATTTACAGAAAGAGGGGCCAGGAATCAGCTACTGCATATGGCACAAGCTATAACAAAGACTATTTGGTTAAGTAAAACCCACATTCTTCATTAGACTATGTCATATTTAGTTGTTTACCCAGATATTATTAAGCAAGTATTTAAAAACATAAGCAGATACTCTCGCCACAAGGCAAACTTAGATGACAAAAAGAAATATACAGCAGTTATGAAAGCCATATAATTTTAAAACTATTCAAAACTATACGTTAAAGAGATTGGATTAAGAGGGCATGCTCTATGTTAATGTGTTAGCTTTGTAACTATATCACTGATAATCACTGAGACACGTAATGATTAAGAACAGGAGACTAGGAGTTTGTATTTCTGGCCATGAAACACAAAAGAAATTAAACAAATTTCAATTTTTAAATCTTTCCAAAGCAAAATATCAAGGATCTTAAACTATTAATCTCCTTATGAAGCAAAGCCACGAAATCAATTTAAATGTGAATTAAAGTAAAGGTTATCTATTTTTAAAGAAATTAAAATGCATAAAAGTGAAGTTTACTTAATTTTGCTTAAGTTATTAAATAAAATGTTACCTCCATCACGTTTTTCTGTTTTTAAAAAAAACTTCCCAGCCTAACCTAATATACATACCTACAATTAAACAGATAAACTATGGGTTAGAAAGGTCTCAAAAAGGCATATTGGTCTCTACACACTAAAAAACACAGCACAAATACTAATTCAAATCAAACTTACTCAAAGTCATAATCAAACATGCCAGACGGGCTGAGGGGCAGCATTTGAAAGGAAGAAAGCAATAGAAATTAATATACTAATTGAATAAATTAGTTGATTAGCCACCCTAGCAAGATTCGTAGAAACAAAATCAGCTTTAAGAATCTTAAGCCTTAGTTTCAAACATCAAAGCACCAAAGATTCTGCGGTTGGGAGAGTCCCTTCCCTCACTGGGTTTTGTATCAGAAGAACAGACTATGAAAGGAAAAGTTATTTCATTAGAAAATGAGGTACCTGCAGGCCATTTATTAGCTGCCAGATTCAGAGTTAGAACTTTTAAAATACGTAATTATAGTGAAAAATATAAATAGGGCATTAGAAGAAATAGAGAAAGAAGGGTTTAGTCATATATTGAAAGGGTGCTTTGAAGAGAGTACTAACAAATCAGCACAATACACTTTGACTAACACAAAAGATAAAAACATTATACATTTTTTAAAAGAAAACATTTTGCAACTTTTAACTCAAGTTATAAGTTCTAAGAATGTCCAGGGAACATGGGACTCTTTTTTTAGAGCATTCATCCTAGAAAGCCAAGGGTCAAATGAATAAACTTTGGTGACAGTCTTGTTCCAGAAAACTGCAGGGTCACATCACTTTGCCCCTGAATTGGTGATGGCGGGTAACTGTTTATGCCAGGGCTAGTATTAAGAACACCCAAATCTACAGCCCCCCTAGTAAGACAAAGGACAGCTGACGTCCACCAAAACCTGAGCCTCAGGGATCTGGAAGGGAACAATGCAGAGGAGGAGGCTGTTTAGGAGGATATCGCTGCTAACAGGCCATGGTGTGGGCAGACCTCCAAAGCAAATATTAACCCTGAGCATGACACCAGCTCTTTGGCTGGCTCCAACAACTTTCACACTGTAGACAGGTGCTAAAACAATATGCAAAATGCTCTATTTTCCTCCTGGCCCATGTCTGCAAGAGTGAAGCTGGAAGAAAGTGTAACTTCAATATCTCTTATGCAACTGCCTCACTTAAGTCATCTGAGGAATTATCAAAAATTTAACTTTTAGGGATGCCTGGCTGGCTCAGTTGGAAGAGCCAGAAGAGATCTCTTGATCTTCAGGTTGGGTTCCAGCCCCATGTTGGGTGTGGAGATTACTTAAATTAAATAAAACTTTAAAAAAAAATTTAATTTTGAGCCTAACTTAATTTTGTTGGCAAATTAGACTCTACCTAATGAAAATGTCACAAACTACCTAGAAGAATTCTAGAGTTTTGCGTATTAGTAAAAACCTCTAAGAGCCGCTATAAGTTATTATTTCAACTTTTTTCTTTAAAGGCACTGGGACTTATTATTCAGATATCATGTAAAATATAAGAAGTCAGAACACTGTGATCATGTATGAATGCTAAAAATTATTTGACAAATGTTCATATTCCTCAAGAGGACAAATCCATAAGTTATTCCTTTTTGCTACAGTACCAAATTCATTTCCATCTGCTTTACTCACCCCTAAACAGTGCCTGGCACACAGTAGGCATTCAGACATTTGTTGAAATAATTTACCACTGACTTTATCTGAGGGGGCACGGCAAATTGGGAGGAGAAACAAGGACTGTACTGAATGCAAATGTACAAATATGTATGAACAAAGTGCTCCATCCTCCCACGATCTGAAAGAGCCACAAAGACATGAGTCAGGGACAAGGGGTTTGGACATTTCCTTACTGAAGATGGCAGGAATCTGAGAACCTTCACTGGCCCCTGAGATGCTACTCTGGTGCACTGAACCTTTTTATACAGAAAGAAGGCAAATCAGCTTCACTCTGCCCCCTTCGGGCATGTAGGCACCTATGGCCAAGGGAAAAGGCCAGCCAGATTTAATTAAGCCAGGGGGATGACAAAAGGATCTTGCCTTCCAAACAGAAAACGCCATTTATGGGCAGAACTTCCAACAGCGCCATGTTGGGACAGAGCATCCGGAGGTTCACAGTCTCTGTGGTCCGTAGGAGCCACTATGAGGAAGGCCCAGGGAAGAATTTGCCATTTTCAGTGGAAAACAAGTGGCGATTACTACTTATGATGACTTTGTACTTTGGATCTGGATTTGCTGTACCTTTTTTATAGTAAGACAACAGCTGCTTAAGAAATAAGGATGTTTTAATTAATCCATCAAACAGATGTGAAAAGGAACATTTTAAGAGGTGCAGTCTCTTTGAAAAATGGATCAAACTCTTGTTTTCAACATACTCAATATGTCTGTAAATAAACTTATGGCATGAGAAAAAAAAAAGAAAACACCATTTGTGAAAGCAATAAGTAACATCCAAGATCTTTATAAATCCTTCTATTTTTCTGGAAGGAGTTAGCTCTGGGAGCCAGAGGAAAAAAGGGTAGGAAGTGCTGTTCCTATGGAAATCTACTAGAAACCTACAGGAGGAAGTTAAGTTCATGCCTAATTCCCTTTTATCAGTCAGCTGATCACGGCATTAAAAAAAAGGGAAAGTATCACCTACAATAAACAGTAGCTATCTATTGTATGACTAATGGAAAAAATGTCCCAGAAACTTCAAGGAATTGTCCCCCTACTCTAGACACTGTGAAACAGGAAAAGAATAATTACTTTAAAATAACACTGGAGTGAATTTAATAAAAGCAACACAGAGCATGGCATTTAATTACCTTAACAATTTGAAAAAATATTTTAAGAGTAATACTGGTTCCCTGCTACTGTTGGTGATAAGCTAGCATTAGTCCTACCACAGTGATCAAATAGCCTATAACCTTACACACAAAAACAGATGTGCAATTTTTGCTATTTCTTACTGCAGTCATGAGATTGGCATAGTGATTTTCGGTTTGCAGGAAAGTGTTAAGCAGTGATCTTGGGTCACTATTTGGAGGAAATACTATTTCTGCAGTCTAAAAACCACCACCACCATTGACAAGAAAAATTCTTACAAGAATTAGAGAATCTGTTGATGCCTAGGAGGCTTAAGCCAGTTCAAGTTCATTCTATATTATCCCCATGTGCCATAACCACGAAGCTAACATCGTGGATGCCTTGGGTGCGTGAAGGAATATCCCACAGGTCTGTAGAGCAACCCAGCCCAGAAGGGCACCGGAGGACAGGGAACCCCGTCCCTTCCTTGCTTGCACCCTTTCACCTCAGTATGTAAGCTCCTAAGAGGAGCAGGACAAAAGCCAGCCTATGGACACCTGGTTTTCATGCCTGCCAGAAGGAAGTTTGAGGTCAGGGCAAGACTGCTCACTCTAGAAGCTATGTATCACCCTCTCTGAGTACAGCTGTGTAATTTCCAATTATCTGAGTTAATAGGCCCTGGTATTATCATACAAACCCCAGGCAGAGTGAATGCTAAAATCCTCTCTGGGTGACACCTGACCTCTCTGTCCACTGATGTCATTCCTATCTCATTACTCACTGTAAAAAAAACAAAAACAAAAACACACACAGTGGACAAACATTATCTAGAAAGGTACTCTCATATCTTATATAGACTTTATATTATTCCTCTCTGATATGTGAAATCAGCATATTGCAGAGATATATAAAACAAAGAAATCATAAGCAATCAAACACCTTGTATTTAAAAGGAAGAAAAGGCGTGTCAGATCAGCTCTGTCCACCCACAAGGGAGTAAGTGTAAGCAGGGACCAGGATTAGGAGCAAAAGACTCTCTCCCACTTGGCAGCTTCCAAACACGTACTAGTGCCATATTCCAAGTCCAACTTTACAGACTTCCCCCTTTCCTCCTCAGCTTCATCATATTAAACAAAGTGTTTATGGAATGAAATTCTTCTACACTAGAAACAGTGAGAAGGCTGTCTTCCTTCACTTTTATTCTAATGCCCACCCATTCCTCCACTGGAGAAAACTTCGCCTGTTTCATTTGGACCAGAACAATTTCTCCCCATCTGCAACAGAAAGGCGGCACCAATCCTGACGAATTTTTCCTCTAGTGAAGTCCCTTCGCAGCAACAGTCATGGCAGCCCTGGGCAGGGGAGTGGGGGTGGCGGGGCAGCAGGGCGGGGAGGTGGGGGTCCCTGCCACTGACCTGTGTCGGTTTTTATTCTTTCGTTTTTTATGGCTGCCGTGATGACCCCCTGAGGAAGTAGAAGAAGCAGCCTTCTGAGGCTTCACTCCCTGCACAGATCCGTCCAGGTCCTCAGGGTCCTCCTGGCTGGGCTCATTCTCCTGATTGTGGAAGTCTGGAGAAGTATCACTTTCCGTCCCACTTCCTGGCTCCCCTGGAGGGAATAAACACAAGTCCCAGAAGCATTAGCAGCACTCCCCAGGCAGTCCGTCAGCCAGGAATGATGTTGTTGAGCACTAATAGATAAAAAAAGCGATGCTTTCCCATCTTCCAAGACCATACATTCTAACTGACAGAGAAGATATGTGCAGTCAAAGCATCAAAGTTACCAGAGTTCCGGAAACACAAGTAATCTGAAACAGTGTAACCAGAAACAACCTACCTAAGGACAGCTGGGGGATGGGACCATACAAGCAGGAGTCCCTCCTCCTGGCTGCATAAAGGTCACTTAAACAGCAAATCCACAAATGGGATTAATAATTATACAAGAAGCCTGGGTTCCTTCCCCAAACCATACAGGAATCCTGTCTATCAAGAAAGGGGGCTCAAGAGGATAGGAGCCCCATTACTCTGAGAAATCTTAAGAATAGTATTTAAGGGATGCCTGGATGGCTGTCGGTTAAGCATCTGCCTTTGGCTCAGGGCATGATCCCATGGAAGCCTGCTTCTCCCTCTGCCTCTGCCTGCCCCTCCCCCTGCTTGTGCGTTCTCTCTGTCAAATAAATAAAAATCTTAAAAAAAAAAATAGTACCTAAAAAGTGGTAGTAATATTCTTCAACTGACACATATTATATATACCAAGCAAATCCAAAAACAATTTGCATAAATATGTATTTTTAAGAATAATTACATATAATCTGGTAAATGTATACCTATTTCTTCCTGAAAGGAATTTCTTGAAACCGTAATAGGTAAGGGCAGAAGAATACTTTTACTTTACTCAACTATTGAAGGAGCCCAAATATGTACATGGTTTCTTTCTTTTTTTTTTTTTTTGTATACTATCTGTTTCTAGAAATTGTCAAAAGGGGTTATGTGGGCAACAGGACCAAGGACCAGTTTTCTTCTTTTTATATCTCTGTATTATAAAGTGCTGGGAAGGGATTTCAAATTGAGTTGCATATGAGTACAAAAGTAAAAGAAAGTGACGGTCCCTAAAAAGCAGAAGAGGGAGCTCTATAGCTATGAAGCCAGAAAAAGTATGCTGATGAATCATGCTTCTAAAGGTTCAGGAAAACCAATTTCATATAAAAATTGGAAAATAGGGGCGCCTGGGTGGCTCGGTCGTTAAGCGTCTGCCTTCGGCTCAGGTCATGATCCCAGGGTCCTGGTATGGAGCCCCGCATCGGGCTCCCTGCTCAGCGGGAAGCCTGCTTCTCCCTCTCCCACTCCCCCTGCTTGTGTTCCCTCTCTAGCTGTTTCTCTTTCCGTCAAATAAATAAATAAAATCTTAAAAAAAAAAAAATGGAAAATAAACTTCAAAACTTACTACACAAAACTACAGTAACCAAGACTGTGTGGTACTGGCATAAGAAGAGACATATAGATCAACAGAATTCAAAGTCCAGATATAAACCTTCACAGTTAGGGTCAAATGGCTTTCAAGGGTGACAAGACAATTCAATGAATCATATTTTTGATAAATAATGCTGGGACAACTGGACATTCTCAAAGAAAAGAATGAAGTTGGATCCCTATCTCACACCATCACAAAAATTAACTCAAAATGTATCAGAGGCCTAAATGTAAGAGCTAAAAACATACAACTCTTAGAACCCATTTGATTAGGCAAATGGTTTCTTCGATATGACCACAGAAGGAAGCCTAACAAGAAAAAATATATAAATATGTGACCCTCATACATTGCTGATGGGAATAGAAAATGGTGCAGCCACCTTGGAAACTGTTTGGCAGTTCCCCAAAGGCTAAGGACAGAATTACTAAATGATCCAGCAATTCCACTCCTAGGTATATACCCAAGAGAAATGAAAACAGGTTCACACAAAACTTGTCATGAATATTCACAGCAGTATTATACCTAGTAGCCAAATGACCACTAACTGATGAATACATAAATAAAATGTGGTACATCCATTCAATGGAGTACTCTTAGCATTAAAAAGAAATGTAATAGTAATACATGTTTTGTTTAGGGGTTTTTATCCTTGGTGTGATTATAGCGGTAAGAGCCTATCGCTTATAGAACTACCGTATAACCCAGCAATCCTACCTGTATTTATCCAAAAGAACCGAAATCAGGATTCTGAAGAGATACCTGCACTCCCATGTCCACTGAAGCATTATTCACATTACCCAAGGAGTGAAAACCACCTAAATGTCCATCAATGCATGAATGGATAAAGAAAATGTGGTATATAAATATAGTGGAATATATTATTCAGCCTTAAAAAAAAGAAGGAAATCCTGTCTTATGCTACAACACAGATGAACCAGGAGATCACGCTAAATGAAATAAACCAGTCGCAGAAGAACAAATACTGCATGATTCTATTTTTGTGAGGTATCTACAACAGCCAAACTCATGGAAGCAGAGAGTAGAATGGTGGCTGCCAGGTGGAGGGAGAAATGGAGAGTAGAAAGTTTCAGTTATACATGAATAGGCTCTAGAAATCTACTGTACAATACTGTACCAGTAGTTAACAATACTATATTAGGCACTTAAAAATCTGTGGAAGTCAGGGCACCTGGCTGGCTCAGTTGGTAGAGCACACAACTCTTAATCTCAGGTTGTGAGTTCAAGCCCCACACTGAGAAAAACAAAAACACACACAGTGGACAAACATTATCTAGAAAGGTACTCTCATATCTTATATAGACTTTATATTATTCCTCTCTGATATGTGAAATCAGCATATTGCAGAGATATATAAAACAAAGAAATCATAAGCAATCAAACACCTTGTATTTAAAAGGAAGAAAAGGCGTGTCAGATCAGCTCTGTCCACCCACAAGGGAGTAAGTGTAAGCAGGGACCAGGATTAGGAGCAAAAGACTCTCTCCCACTTGGCAGCTTCCAAACACGTACTAGTGCCATATTCCAAGTCCAACTTTACAGACTTCCCCCTTTCCTCCTCAGCTTCATCATATTAAACAAAGTGTTTATGGAATGAAATTCTTCTACACTAGAAACAGTGAGAAGGCTGTCTTCCTTCACTTTTATTCTAATGCCCACCCATTCCTCCACTGGAGAAAACTTCGCCTGTTTCATTTGGACCAGAACAATTTCTCCCCATCTGCAACAGAAAGGCGGCACCAATCCTGACGAATTTTTCCTCTAGTGAAGTCCCTTCGCAGCAACAGTCATGGCAGCCCTGGGCAGGGGAGTGGGGGTGGCGGGGCAGCAGGGCGGGGAGGTGGGGGTCCCTGCCACTGACCTGTGTCGGTTTTTATTCTTTCGTTTTTTATGGCTGCCGTGATGACCCCCTGAGGAAGTAGAAGAAGCAGCCTTCTGAGGCTTCACTCCCTGCACAGATCCGTCCAGGTCCTCAGGGTCCTCCTGGCTGGGCTCATTCTCCTGATTGTGGAAGTCTGGAGAAGTATCACTTTCCGTCCCACTTCCTGGCTCCCCTGGAGGGAATAAACACAAGTCCCAGAAGCATTAGCAGCACTCCCCAGGCAGTCCGTCAGCCAGGAATGATGTTGTTGAGCACTAATAGATAAAAAAAGCGATGCTTTCCCATCTTCCAAGACCATACATTCTAACTGACAGAGAAGATATGTGCAGTCAAAGCATCAAAGTTACCAGAGTTCCGGAAACACAAGTAATCTGAAACAGTGTAACCAGAAACAACCTACCTAAGGACAGCTGGGGGATGGGACCATACAAGCAGGAGTCCCTCCTCCTGGCTGCATAAAGGTCACTTAAACAGCAAATCCACAAATGGGATTAATAATTATACAAGAAGCCTGGGTTCCTTCCCCAAACCATACAGGAATCCTGTCTATCAAGAAAGGGGGCTCAAGAGGATAGGAGCCCCATTACTCTGAGAAATCTTAAGAATAGTATTTAAGGGATGCCTGGATGGCTGTCGGTTAAGCATCTGCCTTTGGCTCAGGGCATGATCCCATGGAAGCCTGCTTCTCCCTCTGCCTCTGCCTGCCCCTCCCCCTGCTTGTGCGTTCTCTCTGTCAAATAAATAAAAATCTTAAAAAAAAAAATAGTACCTAAAAAGTGGTAGTAATATTCTTCAACTGACACATATTATATATACCAAGCAAATCCAAAAACAATTTGCATAAATATGTATTTTTAAGAATAATTACATATAATCTGGTAAATGTATACCTATTTCTTCCTGAAAGGAATTTCTTGAAACCGTAATAGGTAAGGGCAGAAGAATACTTTTACTTTACTCAACTATTGAAGGAGCCCAAATATGTACATGGTTTCTTTCTTTTTTTTTTTTTTGTATACTATCTGTTTCTAGAAATTGTCAAAAGGGGTTATGTGGGCAACAGGACCAAGGACCAGTTTTCTTCTTTTTATATCTCTGTATTATAAAGTGCTGGGAAGGGATTTCAAATTGAGTTGCATATGAGTACAAAAGTAAAAGAAAGTGACGGTCCCTAAAAAGCAGAAGAGGGAGCTCTATAGCTATGAAGCCAGAAAAAGTATGCTGATGAATCATGCTTCTAAAGGTTCAGGAAAACCAATTTCATATAAAAATTGGAAAATAGGGGCGCCTGGGTGGCTCGGTCGTTAAGCGTCTGCCTTCGGCTCAGGTCATGATCCCAGGGTCCTGGTATGGAGCCCCGCATCGGGCTCCCTGCTCAGCGGGAAGCCTGCTTCTCCCTCTCCCACTCCCCCTGCTTGTGTTCCCTCTCTAGCTGTTTCTCTTTCCGTCAAATAAATAAATAAAATCTTAAAAAAAAAAAATGGAAAATAAACTTCAAAACTTACTACACAAAACTACAGTAACCAAGACTGTGTGGTACTGGCATAAGAAGAGACATATAGATCAACAGAATTCAAAGTCCAGATATAAACCTTCACAGTTAGGGTCAAATGGCTTTCAAGGGTGACAAGACAATTCAATGAATCATATTTTTGATAAATAATGCTGGGACAACTGGACATTCTCAAAGAAAAGAATGAAGTTGGATCCCTATCTCACACCATCACAAAAATTAACTCAAAATGTATCAGAGGCCTAAATGTAAGAGCTAAAAACATACAACTCTTAGAACCCATTTGATTAGGCAAATGGTTTCTTCGATATGACCACAGAAGGAAGCCTAACAAGAAAAAATATATAAATATGTGACCCTCATACATTGCTGATGGGAATAGAAAATGGTGCAGCCACCTTGGAAACTGTTTGGCAGTTCCCCAAAGGCTAAGGACAGAATTACTAAATGATCCAGCAATTCCACTCCTAGGTATATACCCAAGAGAAATGAAAACAGGTTCACACAAAACTTGTCATGAATATTCACAGCAGTATTATACCTAGTAGCCAAATGACCACTAACTGATGAATACATAAATAAAATGTGGTACATCCATTCAATGGAGTACTCTTAGCATTAAAAAGAAATGTAATAGTAATACATGTTTTGTTTAGGGGTTTTTATCCTTGGTGTGATTATAGCGGTAAGAGCCTATCGCTTATAGAACTACCGTATAACCCAGCAATCCTACCTGTATTTATCCAAAAGAACCGAAATCAGGATTCTGAAGAGATACCTGCACTCCCATGTCCACTGAAGCATTATTCACATTACCCAAGGAGTGAAAACCACCTAAATGTCCATCAATGCATGAATGGATAAAGAAAATGTGGTATATAAATATAGTGGAATATATTATTCAGCCTTAAAAAAAAGAAGGAAATCCTGTCTTATGCTACAACACAGATGAACCAGGAGATCACGCTAAATGAAATAAACCAGTCGCAGAAGAACAAATACTGCATGATTCTATTTTTGTGAGGTATCTACAACAGCCAAACTCATGGAAGCAGAGAGTAGAATGGTGGCTGCCAGGTGGAGGGAGAAATGGAGAGTAGAAAGTTTCAGTTATACATGAATAGGCTCTAGAAATCTACTGTACAATACTGTACCAGTAGTTAACAATACTATATTAGGCACTTAAAAATCTGTGGAAGTCAGGGCACCTGGCTGGCTCAGTTGGTAGAGCACACAACTCTTAATCTCAGGTTGTGAGTTCAAGCCCCACACTGAGTGTGGAGCCTACTTAAAAAAAAAAAAAAAAAAAATCCTGTGGAACTTGTTTTATAATGTTCTTGTTTAAAAAAAAAAGATTTTATTTATTTGAGAGAGATCACAGAGGGAGAGGGAGAAGCCAACTCACTGCTGAGTGGACAGCCCAATGCGGGGCTCAATCCCAGGACCCTGAGATCATAACCTCAACCAAAAGCAGATGTTTAACCAGCTGAGCCACCCAGGTGCCCCTGTTTTTAATGTCCTTACCACAACTTTTAAAAACCTATCATTTGGAGATACATATTGAAACATGAATATACAAGAAAATGGTATGATGTCTAGGATTTTCAATGTGACACAGGAGGCGGAAGTGAGAGTAGGTCGGGTATGGAGAGGGCACTGACCATGGTCTGGGATTTGGGGCAGTGTGATGGGTACACAGGAGTTTGTTTGTTTTTTTTTTACCTTCTTTATTTGTATAGATTCAAAAACTCACTTTAATAGAGAGTTAAAAAGTATTCACTTTTTCCTGTAGTTTATCTTGATAATATCTGTAACAGGCCTTCCCAAGCTATGCTTCTAGGACTATTAAATGGTGATACTCTTTTTGGAAAAGTCTACGGTGTTTTCCAAAACCAAAAACCAATTCCCTGATTCTCCAGGCACCAACAATTTGATTCCATTCTGACACTTATTACCAGAGTTAGGGCAGACCCACAGGTTAAGGGCTCAGTCCCACAAAAGTGCCCCCCCACTTCAAATACCAGGCCTCTCATACTTCTGACCAACGAGCTATAAATCAGGGGTACCCTAAACCCCCTCTTCAGGTTTCATAATTTGCTACAATGTCCATCAGCCCCAAGAACTCAGGAATACGATTTATTTACTGTTAATGGTCTATTATAAAGGATTACAACTCAGCAACAGCCAAATGCACAGGGCAAGGTATGGGGAGGGGCGGGGAGCTGCCATGCCTTCTCTGAGCACACCACCCTCCTAGCACCTCTTTCCATTCACCAACAAAAGCTCAAAAGTTTAGTTTAGCTTTTTTTTTTTTGGTTTTATTTGAGAGCGCGCATGCATGTGCCCAAGTCAGGGGGAGGGGCACGGGGGGAGGCTGATGCAGGGCTCAATCCCAGGACCCTGAGATCATGACCTGAGACAAAGTCAGACACTTAACTGAACCATCCAGGCGCCCCATAGTTTGGGGATTTTTAAGGAAGTTTCTTTATGCAGTCATGATTAATTAAGTCATTGGCTGCTAGTGATTAATAACTCAGTCTCTAGCCCTCCTCCCCTCTCTGAGGTTTGGGGTAAGGCTGAAAGTTCTAAGCCCCCATCCTGAAGCCCTCTAGGGGCCTTCAGCCCTCAGTCATCTCCATTAGCATTCCAAAAAATTTTTTGTTTTTTAAAGATTTTATTTATTCATTTGAGACACACAGAGAGCGAGAGCGTGAGCAGGGGCAGAGGCAGAGGGAGAGGGAGAAACAGCTCCCCGCTGAGCCAGGAGCCTGATGTGGGGCTCGATCCCAGGACCCTGGGATCATGACCTGAGCTGAAGGCAGATGCTTAACCATCTGAGCCACCCAGGCACTCAAGCATTCAAAAATTTCTTTTGTATGCAGTGTATGCCAGTCATTCTTATCACTCTGGAGATTCCAAGGGTTTTAGGAACTGTGTGCCAGAGCAGGGGACAAAGACCAAATATATATTTCCCACTATACCACTGTGCTGTATTTATGAAAATCACCCCTTGACACAGTAATGCCGCTTCTGGGACACTATCATATAGAAATAAAAAGTCCATTACAAAAAAGCTAGTGTACAAGGAAGCTTACTGCAACACTGTTTATAGTGGCGAAAATGGAGACAGTGTGAATACTCACCAAGAGGGGAGGCACAACCAGATTGCTGGGTATTTTCAGCTTTTGAAAAGAATGTGAGATTATAACAATGGCTAACAGAGTCCTTACTAGAAGCCAGGCACTGTTCTATACACTTTAAATATATCTTACCTATAACCCTCACAGAAACCTCTACCACTATGATAACCATTTGACAGAGAAGGGAACTGAGGAGGCTAGAGTTTAAGAAACCTGCCCAAGGTCACACAGCTAATAAGGGAAAGAGTCGGGATTCACATTCAAAGATAGTTTGGCTCCAAAGCCCACGCTCTTCATCACTACTCTATATGCTTCTCTCTGGATGCACTCAACCTGCAGGAGCATATGTGATAAGTGAAAAAGCAGGTAATATGTACTGTTAGATCCAATTTCTTTCTTAAAAAAAAAATCCCTTTATGACATAACTAAAATTCCAAGTGAAAAAAAATCCCCAACTCTGTGTGTCTGCGTGTGTGTGAGCGTGTGTGTGTGTCCAGGAGGATGTGTTAGGATATCAAG